CCAACAAGAAGTAAGACTTGTGTAAGTGTTTATTCTGGGACTGGAAATCCTTGTCATGCATGCTCTCCCCCTCACATTCTTGAAGCAGACTACACCCGCGACAGTGTCTTGTGGGGAGGTCCCAACTCCCGGAGGGCCTGCAGAATTTGTGTGACCTTTACATGGTGCGGCTGGGCCTGTGGACGAGAGGCCGGTACCCCTCCTTTGGAGATGTGGGAATAGCAGATTTTATCATTAAAGAGCATTGAGCAATTTGTGAAACTTGAGTACGATAATTGCACCCATGGGCACTTGTAATGAGATTCTAATGAGATTCTTGTTTGTAAATGCCCTCCATGTGCGCTGAACTGTAGCATGATGAAAGCGACCTATTGTCAAGAATCGCTGACAACATTCCGGGGGGGAAGGGGAGGATGATCACTATCCTGGTGTGCCGCCAAACTACCGGACAGCGGAAATCCGCAATAAAATAAAGGTAACGGGTCCATGTCTCGCTGAAACCCACTATATCCTTTACTATCCTTAGCCTTGTAATCTTGTAATCCTTGTAATCTTGTCATTCTTCTAATACTTCTAATCTTCTAATCCTTGTAATCTTGTAATTGCTGTAACCTTGTAATCGTTGTAATCTTGTAATCCTTGTAATCTTGTAATTGCTGTAATCTTGTAATTGCTGTAATCTTGTAATTGCTGTAATCTTGTAATTGCTGTAATCTTGTAATTGTTGTAATCTTGTAATCCATGTAATCTTGTAATCCTTGTAATCTTGTAATTGCTGTAATCATGTAATTGTTGTAATCTTGTAATTGTTGTAATCTTGTAATCCTTGTAATCTTGTAATTGCTGTAATCTTGTAATCCTTGTAATCTTGTAATTGCTGTAATCTTGTAATCCATGTAATCTTGTAATCCTGTAATCTTGTAATCCATGTAATCTTGTAATTGCTGTAACCTTGTAATTGCTGTAATCTTGTAATTGCTGTAATCTTGTAATCCTTGTAATCTTGTAATTGCTGTAATCTTGTAATCCTTGTAATCTTGTAATCCATGTAATCTTGTAATCCTTGTAATCTTGTAATTGCTGTAATCTTGTAATTGCTGTAATCTTGTAATTGCTGTAATCATGTAATTGTTGTAATCATGTAATTGCTGTAATCTTGTAATTGTTGTAATCTTGTAATTGCTGTAATCTTGTAATTGCTGTAATCTTGTAATTGCTGTAATCTTGTAATTGTTGTAATCATGTAATTGCTGTAATCATGTAATTGCTGTAATCTTGTAATTGCTGTAATCTTGTAATCCTTGTAATCTTGTAATTGCTGTAATCTTGTAATTGCTGTAATCTTGTAATTGCTGTAATCTTGTAATTGCTGTAATCTTGTAATTGCTGTAATCTTGTAATCTATGTAATCTTGTAATTGCTGTAATCTTGTAATCCTTGTAATCTTGTAATTGCTGTAATCTTGTAATCCCTGTAATCTTGTAATTGCTGTAACCTTGTAATTGCTGTAATCTTGTAATTGCTGTAATCTTGTAATCCATGTAATCTTGTAATCCTTGTAATCTTGTAATTGCTGTAATCTTGTAATCCTTGTAATCATTGTAATTGTTGTAATCTTGTAATTCTTGTAATCTTGTAATCTTGTAATTTTTGTAATCTTGGAATTCTTGTAATTTTGTAATTCTTGTAATCTTGTAATTCTTGTAATATTGAAATCATTGTAATCTGGTAATTGCTGTAATCTTGTAATTCTTCTAACTGTTTTATTCTTGTAACTGTTATAGTTTTGTAATCTTTGCAATTGTTGTAATCTTGTAATTCTTGAAATTTTTGCCAGCTGCTTGTAATTCTTGTAATTTCTGTAACATTGTAAGCTTTATATTTGTGACGTTTTAATTATTGTAATCTGGTAATGGAAGAAAGTTTTTATACTTTAACTT